GCACACCTTCCAATACTCATTCCCTAATCCAGAAAATACTCCCCTTGGAATAAGAACTCTGAGTGGTCAATAGCATGAAGCAATCAGGATCTTTTTTTCTTCTCCCTCCCAGGAAAAAAAAAAGGAGCAGAGTTCAGACTTTGAAAGGGTAGGAACAGCTGTTCCCATCTGAGCAGCCACGGTGCCTTTGTTATCCAAGATCAGAGGAAAAAAAATTACTTTTAAATCTTCAACCAGTAGTCCTCTGGAGAGAACAAACTGCTTTCTGAAGAATAAATTAAGCATTCAATTAAACTCTACAACAGGTACCTACTGTTCTTACACACTGTGGGGGAAATATATTCAATGATATTATTACAATCCTCTGCCAACAACTCCAATAAATCAAATCAAATTAAAAAATTCTCTCCTCAGTTCAAGCAAAATGTTCAATATAACTAACACGTAGATTTAAGAAGGGAGAAAAAAAATTAAATATCCAGAATATTGGCATTATATCAGTCCCTGATTCCCCAGTTGAAGGATCAAGTCAGCAGACACATCCATTTCTGTAAAGATCTGTATGTGCATCAGGTCTTCTCTGATTCTCCACTTCCTGGAATAACAAATGCATGTATTAAAAATTCTGAGGTATTTCTAAATACCAAATGATATGGCTTTAAAGAATTCATTTGTCCCCAYTGATGAAGCATTTCATTCAGGTTAAATGACTCTGTTTACAAAAAAGCTTCAGGATTTATTATATTTGCATGATAACTCATCAACTACACTTTGGCTTGAAGGAATATAAGCACAGAAGTTAATTAACTCTAATTTTCAAACTGCCAAGAGCTGTTATAGGTTCAAGAGTTTTATCTACGTATGAGCATGACCTAGATAAAAAAAMCAAAAAAGGTACTGCTTCCAGACCACTGAGCCTATTACTAAAATTAATTGAGCAATATTGACTTGGATATWCTAATCACCTAGAAAAGTTAATGGCAACAGTAGGCTCTAAAAATACAAATTCCTTTTACTTCCCATTAAAACATTGACCATGGTGAGTTATTAAACAGCATATGCATCTCTAGCTTTGATGMAGTTTAAGTAAATATTATGTTAGACAGTAGCTACCATGCTGAAAGGAGTTCTCCAGGTACATTCTCTCAACAAGGTAAAACGAATGGAAGGAAACAAAACAGTGAAACAATTGTTACATTTTTTACCTGATTTATTAAGACTGTTTATGGATAAACTAGTAAGGATAAAAGAAAAAAGCAAAACCATAAGATATGTCCATGAGCATAAATCAGAAAAATACTTCATATACTAATAGGAAATAAAACATTTAAACACAATACCATGATATAAACTTTCAATGCTTAAAAAACAGAGGTGTAAATTTGAATTTAACATCTCCTTTTTATGGCTATGTATCAGACTATTTTTCTTTGCTTCTAAACCAAAACATGCTGAAGCCCTTAACATTATTAAAAAGGGTCAAAGCCCTTTTGAACTGTAATGCTTTTTTAATAAGATGTTATGAAGTGTTTTCATGCAGGCAAATCATTACTRCAGGCAAAATCCTTTTCCACACTAAGACCATTTTAACTGCCAAAACAAAGATTTGCAAYAAGGAATGGCTGCAAGTACAAACAACACATAATTTATAGTAAGTTTTCCTGAAAGAAAGCAAACATTATTTCAGAACACCAAGGAATTGATCTAACATTATTAGAATGATTAAACACTACTTGTGTAGGCATTCCAAGATTGTGACCACAGTTCAAATTTAACAATGCTATTAAATATCTATAATGTACAGGTAATGGATATATACACACCTTTTTCTCTGGGTAGATCCCCTGCTTTCTTGCCCTACCAGTGCTGTGATCAATCTAACAAGAGAGAGCATTGCTAAAACGGCGTCTCAAATCAAAATCACAGCATTCTACTCCTARCTGCAGTTAGCAGCATCTCCAAAATGTGTAAAACCCTGTAAAACAAAGCTGTGAGATAGCAGGTGAGGATGGCTTCCTGCTTGGAACAGCTCTCCAAGYTGAGCTGCCACATTTGGTATGGGATTTCAGTAATTGTTTCATCCTGCAGGAACCTCTGTAAGCTGCTCTCAGTTGGAAATCACTTCCACCCAGTGCCATTTGTCGTGTCTATTCAGAGAATCTGCGCTSCAGTTGGCAGCCAAAGTAACTGGCAACAAGAATACTGTTGGCTTCAACACTTCCTAAGTTTTCCACCCAGGAAATATCAACAGAGGAACGTGCACAAGATTTACTCCAGGTTTATCAGAACACACATTTCACTTMTTCAGCCAATGCAAAAGGTGTCACGCAGATTTCTTAAAAATCATGGCATAAGCAGAGTTTCTTGTGATTTATTCCAGTGTAAATACATCACTCAGACCCTTTTCCTGCAAATAGTAAGGTGAAGGACAAGCTGTTACTCCCTCAGTTAAGTATTTTCTCCTTCAATGAGTAAGGATCTATTGCTTGACCAGTGAACAGGAAATCTGCTTGTTTTTTAGCACAGACCTAYGAGGACACCAAAACCTCTGAATTCCCATCAAGCCTGGGTTTCAGTGTAGACCAGCATGGATGGGAGAATGTTTTACAGCCATGMAGGATCCTGAAACAACTGGGAGGCCCAAGTTCATGCATTAACTACATTAGGCACAGCAGAAAGTGTTTAAGGTCAAAACAGAATTGCCAGATGCCTTAAATTATATCCAACCCCAAGAATTATCTGACCTGAGCTGCACACATCCTGAACCCATTCCCTTGGGGAATTCTCTGCCCCTAGAACACTACAAGCCACCATGCAGCATCTTGATTGAGAACAAGAATCCAGCCAAAAAAAACCTGCAATTGAGATGTCAAGATTAAGGAGATTTTGGTGGGAGTCTTCTTACATCGTGGATTTAATCACAGCCATTAAGCCAGTACAATTACATGTCAGTAGGTGTGATAATTGTCAGATGGAGCGGGGGAAACAGAAGGAGAGATCACAGATAAAAATTACAGCTTGGGTGCTCTGCTAGATTGATAAAAATATGTAGGATTGAACACAGAAATATGTTCCAAAGATGACCCGGGCAAAGACAAAGACATGCCTTGAAGGCTTGGCAGCTAATTTTCAAGAGTGAATAAACTGTCTTTGAGCAAAGATTATTTTTTTTTAGATTCTTATCAAGAAGTGATATTGTGGCAGATATTAGTAACTCACAAAATCATCCTAYATTTACATGGAAAGTGTTCCAAATATTGTACTTCAGTTTAAAACCCTTCAGTTCGACATGCACACTCAGATAAAGAGGTTGGTCCTCTGTGCAGATCATAAATGTGATGCTACAACACACATTGGTTTAGAAAATATCCTTCAGCTGACAATGTACAAATGTAAATACACAGACAAAGGCTGCAACATTTGAAAGAAAGCTTTTTGAAAGGCCTTTTAGGCATTCATACAAGTTTAGAAGGGGATAAAATGTTTAAAAGTATTAATTCACATAACAGAGTCACMGAATGAAGAATAGTCCWTTTRGAACAAAAAAAAAAARYACATCACTGAAAAAAAGAAATCATCATTGTTATGAAATTGCAACTCCTTTTGTTTGGTGCAAGCCTTATSAGAAAGAGTCTAAAATCTCTGAATGTTGAAGCAGAAACCTTTGTATGTGGGAAATTACATAAAGGTGATTAAAAACAGAGAAGAGGATTGCTGAGGTGAAAGGCAGGCATAGAAAATAAAAAGATAATCCACTAGATTTTTTGGTGTTTGCCACATTCATGAATTTCAAGCCATTCCAAAAACTGATGAAATATATAATTGCCTACTCCAGAATAAAGAGACGCCTTTTTAGTTTTCTCTTACATTAATCATTTCAGTTAATCTATTTACACACGTGACCTTTYAGGACAAACGTATTTGCTGCAAATTGAAATTTCAGGTCCCGCAAAAATAAAAAAAAAAAATCATTTGCCCATCTCCTATTTGGTTTGTTTGGTGATTTWAAATCTGGTGAGATGAGTGGTTTTGCTTTTTTTAATTAGTTATTTGGAGGTGCTTTTTAAAAATTCGTTTGGTTTTCTTAGAGTTATTTTTTTCTCTCAGCTTCAGAGTTGAATGTCTTGCTCCATTCTGGTTGCTCACAGACCCTGTGATCCCTGCATTTGTTTCACTATAAGGAGACACTCATACAATCCTGGAGGCAGAAAGCAATTAAAACATCATGATCAAAAGTATAAACTCCATGATCAAAAGTGTAAACTTTCCAAGCAGTCTCACTGCTGGCTTCTTCATGAAAGAATATTAGAGTTACAATTAGTGTTACATTCTTTAAAAAGAAAAAAAAAAATTAATAGGCTCAAAGCCTACTCATGAAGAGAACAATTTCARTACTCAAGCTACCAGAGAACAAAGGGTTTAAAATCTCTCTGTCACATTTCTCATTTAGGCAGTTTATAATTCAGTACAGCACTTCTGGATTAGCACACTTGCACCCAAAAAATCATTCATATGTGTTCCATTCCTGGAAACACCACCAAAACAAAAACATTTCTTATTCCCAGTTGAAACACAAATCTTACAACGTTTTTACCCCCGTATGGACAAGAGCCAGAGGAGCCCAAATTTCTCTTCCATTTTAATCACAAGTTTGTACTGGACAGGACAGCAGGAGGACTTGTTCAATCAACAGAAAATTCAGAAAATTTCTGAAAACTCCAATAATTTAAACTTCTATTTTTTTTTTTTTTTTTTTTTTACATTTCATATTTCTAGCCATAACTGCACAAAATATAAATCACTCTTTGATGTATCTACAGCTGCTCCTGCATGCCATGATCAACCAAATGCTCCTCTATAATCACACCTACTAACTCTTGACACTCTAGGAAAAAAATACAAGAGGTTATAATGATGTATTTTACCCAACGTGACTATGTAGATAATTAGTTCACCATTTAATTAAATTAAATAGCCTATTTCTTACTATTTAAGCCCTTTATTTAGTTTAAAGACAARTATATTGATGTGCAGATATATTCTAAAAATCCAGAAACTGAGTTGCTTTCTGGATAAAATAAAGAAAGAAGAAAAGTGTTCATAATAATACTGACAGATTTCCTAATAATTGATGGAGAATTATGGTGGTTAAAGATACAACAAGAATTGTTAATCTGGAGAAACAAAGGAAGATGCTGTGAAAGATGAGGTGAGAAGGAAAAGGTAGAAAAAAAAGTGAGATCCAGTACGAAGGGCAGGAAAGAAAAAAAGAGGAAAGGGGTCTGCAATGCACTTGCTGTAATGGACCAAATGCAATCTCATCCCAGGCTGGTGATATTCAGGATCACTGGAGTTTAGCAAAAGTGAWTTAAAACCATTGGAACACGCTTGTGTTATTTAGGAGCATCTTTCAGCTCCTTTTTGCCTAGCTCCCAAAAGCCCCAGTGYGGGATAAATCACATCTTCTTAGGAATATTTCTGCTCTGAAGGACACTGTCATCTGTTCCTCTGTGGGAATTAGACTTCATTACCAGACCTGGAGGGCATGCTGCAAGGCACTTCCAGCTACACAGCCAGCTGGGCAGATTTGGGATTTGATCAAGGTGAGCTCAGGAGGTGGGAAAACAGCCACTGAYTGGTGGAGTTCTGTCTGTTTCTGTAATTTGTTTCAGCCATAATGAAGATCTGGAAAACAGTTTTGTGCAAGTGAATCACAGACACTCGTCCTGCTGAAAAATCTTTATAGAACTGAGCAGGGTATTTTCTTTAAGCTTCAAGTTTCTGTGTAATTACAAACCATTCATAAGGTTTTATASGAAAGTACAGAACTACAGGCAGACTAAAGCATGAGGATGTAGAGTCCAGCAAATCACCAAATTGTTTTATTTTTTTTTTTTTTTAGCAATGAAATCAGCTCTAAGAGATCAAGTCAAGTATTGAGTGTGACTTGTCAGGATAACATTAGCTATTAGAATGAAAAMTTTGCCAGTTTTAATAAACCATCAATGTTCAGCAAAACTTTACACTCAAAAGGAACAAATCTGTGGCGCKCAGAACTGCAGATATTACTAGGCTACTACATCAGAAAAAGGGATTTAAAAGCAGAAGAGTAATTGGCATCACATGCTGAGCATTGATCACTAGCATCCACTACACTTCTCCAAAACTTAATGAAAGTAGAAGTTTCCAAGAAGAACACCCAATTTATCCCATCAGCACACAGAAAAACAATCACACAATGATAAAACACTGGTGAGAGCATGAACAGTTAGGTTCTGGCTTGGAAAAGGAAAGMAACAGCCTTCATCTACAGAGAGGTTTTTGAAACATTTTAAAAATRTTTGTTTCATTCATAAAAGACGACCGAACCCAGACTCAGGCATCTATAAATTCTACATGTACACCTTTACTAAAACAGCAAAAGCTGGAAGAAATTTTGGTTCTTCCTTCCTTACAGACCTTTATAAATCCAAGTATTAGGTCAAYTCCCATTTAACATTTGTATTACATRGAGAACTATGTCYTGCAAATTWACCAAAACCTTTCTCAAARGAACAAATGTGCTTATTCATAACAGCAAGATTGGACAACTGCTTGCAAATCACTTGTCTTACAGAATATTTTACTCAGTTTTCATTTAATTTATACTTATTTTGGAGATTTAATCTGRTGACAAGTTTTAATTAGGCAAAATGAACAATTAGAGGTCACGTTTAAAATTCAATTTCTAGATTGGAAAAATAGTATCTTTTCAACAGTTTCTGTCATTTAGAAAGAACACTGTGCAAACAACTTCCATCAGACCAAAAAGAAATTAGCAAAACACTGTCTCAGAAAAATTCAGGAGGCTTAAGTGAAAAAGTATTAATATCCTGTTTTTAAAGCTCTGCTTCTGTCTTGTCAAACAATAAAACAATACTCTGATCCACAATTTATTATGTTTAATAAAGCAGCCTGAAGTTTAAGAACATCACAACCTGACAGTCCCACAAAATGTCCCTGGATTCTGGAAGTTAAAAACCCCTTGATCTCGTTCATATTTCACTATCACCAATAAGCAGGACACAGTCCACTCTCATGGCTCCCTTGTCATTCTGGGTTTTATTTTGTTTATTAAAACTGAATGCCTTATTAAGACACCAAAAAGTAAGAAATTAGCTAGAGAAAATATTGAAAAAAAAAGAGAAAGACACTCTTTAATATCTATGTCAAAGCTTTATACAGACATGTTACATCTCTTGGGACAGTGGTTTTAAAATTTACTTTCCTTTCCTAAGTCTACATGTTCCTTGTAAAATCATCATGGAGTGTATATCTCATTACAGCTCATGATACAAGTTATACTCTCCCAGTAAACCTGGGGAAAAGCAAATATACCCCAAAGAACAGCAAAGTAATCAAATCTGACATTAAGAGAAAACTCATCATTTAAAAAAAAATCTAATAATGGCTCCTAGCACTTTTTAATAAAAGATACTCAACAGCAGCATCTTGAGGAACATGACTTGTTTTAATTATTTATTGAGAGTTGATGGTTTATTTGAAAGAAAATGCAATTATGTCCTGACACTTTAATCACTATCCGTTTGTTTTGTTTAGCTGGTACTGCTAAGAGGAAAGTTACCTTCCTATGAAAATTCTGACATTTCAATAATTGGTTTTGCAACATTTCCAGAGACTGAAAGTATTGCTGTTATTAAAAATGTGTAAAAATTTGAGCTGTGATATCATTAAGATTGATGGCCAACATACCAATAACCCAAACCTCAAATAGATCAAATTTCTTTTTTTCTTTCCATATATAGGCTTTGGGCAACAAAATTTCCACTGGCACAAAAAATGGAAATCAAGAGCAGCCCCTTAACAAACTCATTCAAATCAATCCATTAACYAGAGGAAAAGAAATTAAGGAAAAATAATCAAAGACTAGCAAACCAAAGGCTCATAGGTTGGAAAAGAACTCTGCCCCACTGAAATAAAAGGGAATTTTGCTAAATTTAGCCATTAGGTTAGAGATTTGTTTGCCAATTGGTGGTCAAAAACAAGAAAAATAAATGACACTCTCAAAAACACCGTGCCAAGCTTTGGCTGGGTTCAGTATTTAAAGCATTTCAGAAAATTCAGTAAGACATTCAGCTGAATTAATACTCACAAAGTGAAGTCATTCAGCAGAGATTCTAACATTGTTTATCCATAATCCCATGATGAGCCTGTCARCCATCCTTCAGGGAGCTCTACACACGCAGCTGTATGAGTGGAAGAGGAGASGAAAGGAAAACACAGTGARCTAWGGAACCATAAAATTACAAGATTTTTAGGCTSATTTCAGCACCCATAAAACTGCACTTTCATCCTTTGTGTCCAGGGACTTCAAACACTCTAAACCATTCAAATGAGAGATGGTTACCAGGTCACTTAGAAGTGACCTGAATGTGTCTCGGCCACCAGCGAGCCCAYGGGTCACACCACAATTTTCTGTGGGTGATGCTCTCACTTAGTACACCTCTGAATGGTTACAGAGATCCTGGTCAGCAGAAAGGAAGCTGAGCAGAGGGTCCCTTCCATGACCTTGGAAGAGAAAAAAAAAGTTTTCAGGGTCAACTGAAGCACATAAAGGGCCGTGACCCTTAAGAACAAACTTCCTTTTCTGCCTTATCTCACCACATCCTTGTACAGTTCAGCCAAACGTTAAAACACCTAAACTTCATCTGTACCAGACCCTTGTTATTTAGCTTTCAGTTATTAAATCTTTTAGTTGTTAAAGGCTTACCCAGGTCAAGCAACAGAGTAAAAAGCAATCAGGAGCTGCRGGAAATTGGATGGTCCAGGTGCTCAAACAAAGCCTGGCTTCCTAAAAGCAGGCAGAGTTTGAAGAGTCAACAGGAACATCAAATACAGCTAAATGGAGAGTGATTTTAAGTTCTCTTTGWGGGATTTGGAGATTAGCAAGGAAAACACAAATCTGTGAAACTGTCAATGGCAGAGCCCATCCATGACAATCCAAATTGTGTGAACCATTCAAGGGCAACCCATTTAAAAATCACTCACCTCGTATTAGAGGAGCAGTAGGTATTTTGAAGAGAAAGATACACTTGCTCAAATTATTCCCCACAGTGCATAAGTATCTCACTTTGTACCCTCAGAGCTTTCCAAGAGTCACAGTTTGTAAATGATGCTGAGAACTCTGCCCTTTACTTCCTGCAAGGGAAAAACCTGAAAAAGAGCCGAGCATGTGCAGAATCCAAATAAGTGCAGTCACAAAATTAGACCCTACAAGAAACCATCAATAAGTTATAGAAACAGGACCTGACAAAACTGTTAAATACAAATCTACCACCTCTTTTTTTGGAAGGAAGGCCCTTCTCAGATTATAATGTAAACTTCTCAAACCACTGTTATCTCTGGGTCACATTTGAGTCCTGAATCACAGGAATCTCTGCTTGCAGTTCCATCAGTCTTCCGGGAGGAAACAAAATCAAAACTAAACAAAGAAATAAAAGTGACAATAAAAAAATCACCAAACTACTCCTCCAAAAAACAAAAACCAATACAAAAAAAAATCCACTACACAGGAAGGGAAGTCCTTCAAAAAAACCTGGCACCTTTTTCAACATTAAATGTACCATATGCCTAATTTAGGAAGTTAATCCCCCTTTATTAGCCAAGAGACAGCACATGTTTTCCCATAARGACATAATGCACAAATACACCCTTATGTGTCCACCATCCTACACCTCATTTGCTTGCAAACAACTTGTTCAGCCAAATTACAGAATTCCACTAATTTCTAGTCTTCATGCAAATAAGATTTTCTTAGCACATGCACTGAGTTCATTCGAAACATGTTTAGCTAGTAAACTTCATAAATTACAAAGTTATTCTTAAAGTTACGATAGCCTAGGGGTAGATGGCTTTCAACAGAAGTTTAGCCATTCCTTTTTTGTGAAAAAGGCAAAAATCTCCCATAGCACAAATCACAGCCACCCTTTGCACTRGCAAACATGAAATATACTGCATGTCTTCACGGAAATCCCAGGGAAGAGGGAGCAGGAAATCAAAATGTGATTTTTTTTTATCCTACTTATTTATTCACATAAACCCTGTACCAACAGACTTATCTAAATCTGGTATAAGGTTTAATTTATCCTTTAGCTTCACTTTTTCATTCCAGCTTTTCATTTTTGAAGAAAACTTTTTGAAGAAAACTTTATAATCTGCTTTATTGATTTTATTAGACAATACAGTCCCAGGTGGAAGTCATGTATTACCATCTCTTTTTTAGGATTTCCAGGCCACCAGTTCTTGATGTGACACAGTGATCTCAGAAGACAACATACAGAGCAGTAAAACAAAATATCCTGACATTGGAAAGGCAGACATGTTCTAAACCAAATATTGTTATGGTGCTATGCCTATTGTAAACCACTACATCCAACAGCAATAAATATTGATAGGTACCCATTCCCCTGACTTAGATGAAAGTTTCTCATAAAAGTTTATTTCCTCTGTTTGCTAATGCACCAAGACATGAAAACTGTTTTGGTTTTTTTTTCCCAGCTGCATAGGGTGAAATATCTGGGTCATTCACCTCCATGCTGTTCCTTAATTACATAGCTCTTSATGCTCTCATGGAAAAAATACATTCAAATATACTGAGTACACTGCTCAAAAAATATCACTGATGAACTCCTGTGGAAAGGTTATCCAATCTGAGTGAAACTTTAATTTAAAACACAGATCAGAATAACAGGTAGACACATGGATGTCTGCTAAAACAGGATAAGCCATATGGTTCTCTGTTTAAACATGGTTTTGGTTTCAATACTCTCGTGATATGAAGTATGCCATTAATTTATTAATTTTACCAATTATTTTTTATATTCATTATCTTCTAATACAGTAAATAACACAGATTAGCATATTTACAACATGAAATGATAAAATTGTTAAGTGAATGCAAAGTGTAGAAATTGTACAAAATGGGTAATGTGCAGAAAATGTACAAAACATTTAAGAATTGAATTCAGTGATCCTTGTGGGTGCCTTCCAATTTAGAATAATCTGTGGTTCTGTGTAAAAAGGCAAACTGAGAAGAAAATATGTATTTGTACAGCTATCAACATTTTAAATGTCTGAAATACTACCACCAATTTCTATKAACTGCTCTGTTCCAAAGACACAAAAAAGCTCTGAGAAGCAAAGTTCCCCACTCAACTCCTTCTGCATCAGTTTTTTGCTTTTTTTTTTTTTAACACGACAGCACTAGCACCAGTGAAGCAATGGTATCATATCATATCAYCAGTGAAGCAATGAAAAAATCAAGATACTGATCACTACCAGAAATGGAACACAGTCAGAATCTTATATCCAGCCATAAATTTCTTAAAATTTAAAGTTTGCTACTTAACAGYGTGATCCAGAGCTATATCTGTAATGCTTTTGGTGCAGTTCAAAGCCAAAGAAGTATAAGACCTTTYTTCTAGATGTATTTCAAAGCTAGCCCAAGCTGACAGAAGCCTTGAGAGATCAGTATTTCTTTTCCTTTTCTCTTTTTAATCAGTATGATAATTATTTCAGTCTGTCATGTTTAACAGATTATTTCACTGCAGTTGTCAAACRCTTTTTTAAAATATATTCTTCACATATGGAGTGAAGATTTTTTTTATCTTCCCCAAATTCAACTTATATAGAAATCTAAAGAGAAGGTGTGTTTTCACACTGAATTTAGCTTTTTTAAATGCACCTGTATTTTTCTGTAGGAAGCATCTGGAACCTTCTTTCCAATCTTGGTAATTCCAAGATTCATGCAGAAAAAAATCCAGAAAATGAAAACAAATTCTCCTGTCGCAGTCGTTTAGTTTCCTTTCGATTTAAATGAAAACATAACCAACAGTATTTCTGTAGCCAGCAGCCTGATTTGCTGTCATAAAAAGCACTCTTCTTGGCCTAATCACCTTATATTGATAAAGGGCCACAAAAATATGGTGCCCTTAAAACAACAAAGACTGGGAATTGCCTTTACAAGCCTTAGTCTTTAAAAATAACCTAAATCCTATCCTACATATTATACTAAATAAAAGACAACTACCATTAGGCTTTTAGAGCACAAAGAAAAGAACATGCAGATCTGGAATGCAACACAGGTATTTTACAGTGAACAAATGTTATCTGGAACTTAGAAAATCTAGGAAGCAGGACAGGAGCACAGGCCTTCCTGCTTGCAAATAAACATCCTCACACCCAGCCAAGGCTGCTTCTTGGGGCATTCTTTACTTATAATAGTCTGTTCTGCTCTTTAATTATCTTCCCCCTTGCTGAAAGTCTTATCCTAGTATATGAGAAAACCTAAATAATGACCCCTTCAATCACCACTTTACAATTTACTTAACTCTGTAAAATAATGGGTTGCATTAAAGGGATCTAACACACAACTTGCTTTTTTTTCTTTTTAAATTAATAGTGATCCTGAGATCTCACATTTAAATTGATTTGCACAAAATCAGATCACAATTTTAAGTTAGACATGCATATATGTATATAATTACAGTAATACTCTACAGACTCAAAAGAAWTATTTTTCTGAGAGAAGTAATTCCAAGGACAAGGCACAGACATAAGATTTCTCCATTTTGAGAATTGCTATATAGAAGTTTTAGCTGTGACAGATATTGCTACGTCCTCTATATGCCAAGACCTCAACAGACAGCAAAATTGCATCCTCTCCCCACCTCAAGTTTCACTCTTACTTGCTGTAAGTGTTTTCCCACATCAAACAACTATTAAAATAATATCATGCTAGTCAGCTACTGCATTTTTCAAAGTATGCTTCTAACACTTATTGAAGTAGTATTTGTGCCATTGGCATAGCTGGGTCCCTCACTAGAAGCAACTGCATATATTACCATCTTTTAATGCAAGAAGTTTCCATGTTTATGATATTTTATGCAAGACATTTCTTAGTTACAGAATGCAATCAGTAGACTTCTTTCTCTAAAAGGCTTTATAAAAATTGTATATGCCTCAGAAGAAATTATGCTGTATCTTGTGTCACATATTTATGTAACATTATGGTAGCAACCACTTAATATCTCTATAGAAAAACTCCCTCAATACCCATGAGCAAAATATAAAAGTTAAAAATTCCAGTAGCAGGAAAAAAAAYGTTTAGTGCTTGAACCATGAAGATAAAAAACTAGCTGATTTTTCATCAGTTTCCTAAAATACCATTTTGAACAAGATAAAAGCGTAAAATCTTGAATGGATTACTTCTATCACCGCTTCCCATATTCTTTGTGGATTTACTAAAGGGCTTTTCTTCTCAGGCTTCAACTACATCCTTAATGCAGAGTAGCATTAATCAGAATTCTGGAGTGCAACCTTCAGCTATCCTGTGGTACCAACTCATTTATCAGTCTTGCCCTCCTGCTGAACCCAAGCAAGTCCCCCCATTCAGAACTACCTGTAGGGCACAGGAAATCAAACATCAGGTCATGATGAATCCTCTTTCTTTGGAAAAATCTCAAAGCAAAAAGGCTCCACTCGGCTTCAGGAGGGCAGCGGCTGATCTGGAGAACGTTTCCATCAGCAGGAGGTACAAATCAGCTCCCAACTGCATTTTACTCCCCCCCTTCCAAAATCCTTTACTCCACATGTCACATCACTCATCACAGACTTAGCAAGCTCTCCCCTCCCATCAACCCCATAGAGACCTACAAATAACAGATTAGGGTTCATCTGCCCTAAATAGGAGGAGAACCAAAAGGGATTTCAGCACCTCAAACAACTCAAAAGTCTTGCATCATGAGAGTTGGCTGCTTCAGGATGCCATTTGTGTGCAGTTATTCAGAAGGCAGGGGGAGCCAGCTGAAAACCAACTCTGTTCTCTCACAACATAAATACAGGTCATCCTCAAGCAACCAACTTGAAAGTCATGGTAAGCACCCAATCAAGGCAGAAATTGCTTACCTGGTGTCAGCTCGGATGGAAAAAAATCATCACCCCAAATAACCAGCTGGAGYTCTATTTCTGCACAATGGCAGCTTTGAAGTAATACTCATACAGAACAGCATGAGTCCAAAAATTTTGCTCTGTAGGATTCCTCAGAGGACACCGAGTAGACTGGGAAAAAATCCTATCCGTAAAATTATGTTTACTGCATGAAATGAAGCAAGAATGAGATGCTTCGTGCATTCTCCAGATACTGAAAAGACTATTGAAAACAACTKCATGGAAGAAATAAAAGAAAACCAGTTGCAGGGAAGGAGCATTTACACATGAAACATTAACRCATTAAAGACACTTTGAGCTCTGGAAATGTCTGAATCCCAAATGAAACACCTCTGAAARAATGGTAATATGGTTCACAGTACACTGTA